CCCCAGCCCCGCTGCCCCCTCACCCCCTGACAGTGACTTTGGATGAAGCGGCTCAATAGCCACAGCTGGCCGTGGTTGCCTGGACATGGCACACTCGCCACGGGGGCTGATGTTGGGCACCTCATTCCCCTCTGTCGAGAGGCACAGTGAACTTCCCTGCCAAACTCTGCCTCAGTTTCCCCCTCTACAGATGGGCTCTGGGCAATGCTGGCATTGCCAAAGGCTGGGCTGGCCCCCAAAGGGCTCCTGGCCCCTCTGAGGCACCTACGGAGGGGACTCAGAGCAGCTATATTTATCTTGAGTGAAGATGCCCACCTGGGGTGGGGGGGGTTACCCCTGCGGACCCTCCGGATGCCCAGTCCCCCACATGGCCCCAGCTCTGATCTTGACTCCAGATGCAGAGAAGACCCCCGGTTACTGGAACAAAGGGGCCAGGAGGAGGCTGGAGCTGGCCCTGGCATTGCAGCCGGCAGCACGGCGAGCCAAAAACATCATCCTCTTCCTGGGTGACGGTGAGTCCCCCCAGGTCCCAGCCAGGCCTCGTGGCAGTGGGGCTGCACAGCAGCCAAGGGATGTGGCTGGTGAGAAGGGGCCGGTGCAAGTCCCATCCTCCCTGGCTGAGCCTGGGCAGTGCCTGGGGAGGGCAGGACTGTCCCTGGTCCCAGCCCCCTGCCACCCCACGGCTCTGCCATGCCCACAGGCATGGGGCTGCCTACCGTGTCGGCGGCTCGGATCTACAAGGGGCAGCTGGCCGGTGGCTCAGGCGAGGACAGTGTCCTGGCCATGGAGACCTTCCCCCATGTGGCCCTGGCCAAGGTGAGTGGGGCAGTGCTGGGAGGGGGAGGGGGGGGGGGGGCTGCTGACCCCACCCAAAACCCCACTGGCTCCTGCTTGCCCCCAGACCTACACCATCGACCGGCAGGTGCCCGACAGCGCTGGCACGGGCACAGCCTACCTCTGTGGGGTGAAGACCAATGCCAAGACTCTAGGGCTGAGCGGGGCGGCCGTCTACGGCAAATGTCGCACCGCCTTTGGCAATGAGGTGGACTCCATCCTGCACCGGGCCAGGCTGGCGGGTACGGGGAGCAGCGGGCAACCCTGTTGGGGAGGCTGGCGTGGCATGGCCATTCCTGCCGTGCAGGCCTGGGTGGGTTTGCTATAAGCCCTTGCCCGCACTTGCAGGCAAGTCAGTGGGCATCGTGACAACCACGCGGGTGCAGCACGCATCCCCCGGGGCAGCCTATGCCCACTCGGCCAGCCGGAGCTGGTATGCTGATGCCGACATGCCCAAGGAGGCCTTGCGGGATGGCTGCAAGGACATTGCCTACCAGCTGGTGCACAACACGGACATCAACGTGAGCTGGGAAGCGGGCATGGGATGGGGGGTACACTGGGGACATTGGGAGGGTCTGCTGAGCTCCCCGGCAGGTGATCCTGGGCGGTGGGCGGATGTACATGACCCCCAAGCGGACCCCGGACCCTGAGTACCCGGAGGACCCAGCTCAGAACGGCACCAGGAAGGACGGACTCGACTTGATTGCCAAATGGCTGAGTGCCAAGCAGGTAACACGCCAGGATAGAGGGGACGTGACACCAGGCATGGGGCATGTGCCATTGGCACCGACTCTGTTCTCGCTGGCAGGATGCCTGCTACGTCTGGGACAAGAAGGGCCTGGACGCAGTGAAGGATGACTCTGTGAGCCACCTGATGGGTAAAAGCACCACCAGCAATGCCTCCTCCTCCTCCTCCTCCCTGCTCTGGGTGCACTGGCAGGGGTGTGAAGCAGCCCCAGCATGGACCCCTCCTACCCTGCTCCCCCAGGTCTCTTCGAGCCAAAGGACATGAAGTACGAGCTGAACCGCAATGCCTCCACGGATCCCTCCATTGTGGAGATGACGGAAAAGGCCATTCGCATCCTGCGCAGGAACCCCAACGGCTTCTTCCTCTTTGTGGAAGATGAGTAGCCCCAAACGGGCAGCATGGCTGGGGCTGGGGTGGGATGTGGGTCCGGGGAGCGGGTGGGCATCCCAGGGCACCAGGGAGAGGGTGATGACTGTGTTCCCTGTGCAGGTGGCAGGATCGACCATGGCCACCACAGCGGCCGGGCCAAGCAGGCGCTGATGGAGGCCGTCATGCTGGACCGGGCAGTGGCACGGGCAGGCGAACTCACCTCCCCCTCTGACACCTTGACCGTGGTGACAGCTGATCACTCCCATGTCTTCACCTTTGGAGGCAACACGCTGCGTGGCACCTCCATCTTTGGTGGGTGTCAGAGAGGGACAGCAAACATCCCTGTTCCCAGCTCCTCCTTTTGCTCCTGCCAGAGGCTGAGCTGGCCAAGGTGGGGAGCAGGGGAGAGGTAGCAGGCTGGGATGGGGGTGACAGTGTCTGCCTGTGCCAGGGCTGGCCCCCAAGAAAGCCAAGGACAAGCGAGCCTACACCAGCATCCTCTATGGCAACGGTCCTGGCTACAGCATCCGCTCAGGGGGCCGCCCGGCCGCCAGCCTCCCCGCTGCAGGTATGAGTCTGCTGGGGATGGGGCCCAGCAGTGCAGGAGAGGTTTACAGGGAGCCCACCCAGACCTGCACGGCAGGAATGGCTGGGGGGCACAGGGTGGCTGGGGGCAGCGTCCCACGGGCATGGCCGCTGGGGTTGTACGGGGTCCTGGTGCCACCAGGTTGCTCAGGAGTCACTTGAGCAGGAATCACCCTGACACCAAGGTGATGGCAGCTGCCCCCCCATCCCTGCGATGGGCAGGGGAGCCTGCTGTCCTCAGCCCCATTTCTACTGCCCCCTGCAGAGGACAAGGACTACAAGCAGCAGGCAGCGGTGCCCCTGGAGACGGAGACCCACAGCGGGGAGGATGTGGTGGTGCTGGCCCAGGGCCCCATGGCCCACCTCTTCCATGGGGTGCAGGAGCAACACTATATCGCCCATGCCATGGCCTATGCCGCCTGCCTCGAGCCCTATGCCACTGAACCCGGCTGCAGGTCAGCCCGAAGGGCCTCCCATGGCACCCAGTACTCCCCACAACCACTGCTTACTCTTCTGGCCCTCTGCATGGCTGCCCATATGGTGGGGGCCTGAGAGACGCCAGCTGAGCCCCACTTCAACCTGAGCTACCTGGCCCTCCCTGAGCCACCTCATCAAGTGGCTTGGCAACCAGGTCCCCACTGTGGCCAGGATCAAAGATGCAATAAAACATGGGTTGTTTGTCTCCATCTGCCGTGCGGGGGTTTGCAGCAGTGGTTGCCTTCTAAGGTGCTGCCCCCTGCCTCTGCTTCCCCAGGTGGTCGTGGCTCCTAGTTCCCTGCTGGGCCCAGCGCTGGAGGCATTGGGGTGCAGGGGGTGATGAAAGGAGGGTTAGGGGAGGCCATGTCCCCCAAGCTTTGCCAAGCTGGGGCACAGTACATGAAGGTTGGTACCTTCCTGGCAAGGGCTGAGCAAGGAGCAGAGTTTTAGTCCACATCCGTGGATTTATTGCTCAGGAAAGCACTGGGCAGAGCCCAGGGCTGCTAAGTTCAGTAGTGACCCAGGTGCTCCCAATACCCCTGTTGCCCTGGGTCTGATGCTCAGCGCTGCCTGTGGCACCCTGGGCCAGGGCATCCCCGTTCCCGGCACTGAAACCGGGGCAGACAGTGATGCCTGCCAGGCATTGCCCGTCCTCTTGCCCTCTGCATCTCTTTGTGCTCCAAGACCATCCATCCCCCAGCAGCAATAAGGTGCCAAGGAAGTGCCAGCAGCCCAGCCCCATGGCCTTTGTGCCAGTTGCCTGGCAGAACAGCAGGATATCATCAGAAACATGCCAAACTCCTCCACACACCCTGCAAGGGCTGATCCTGGTCCAAAGTCTCTCCCCAGATCTGCTAGAGTCACGGACACTGTCAGCGGCACTGGGCTACCGGCTCTCACCATGCAGCTCCTGGCACCCTTCACCCTCTGTCTGGGCCTCTGGGTAGGGCTCAGCACTGCTGCCATCCCAGGTGGGGACACGGATGGGGATGGGTGCCTGGGGAAGTGCAGGCAAGGCACCAGCCTGGGTTTGGGGAGGGGACCAGGGGCTGCCCAGCTCTGCAAGGGTTAATGGGGGTTACCCCTGGTTTCATGGGGTCCTTGAGCGAGTTTTCCCCCATGGAGTCAGGTTCCTGCTTGTTTCTGGGCTGGAGGGAGGTCTGGGGGTAGTGACTGTAGTCTCCACCCTCCCCCTGCCATGGACTTGGCCCATCTCACCTGTCAGATAACTCCCCATCATGTCCAGTTTTGCTGCTCCCCTCCTTGCCTGCCCCAGAACCCCCGGGCTGGGCAGTGGGTCTAAGCTACCCCTACTCCAAAACAGCACTCTGACCCTCTCTGTCCATGTCAGAGCATGGGGATGCCCAGGGAACAAGAACCCCTGGGATGTGGGTGCCCCAGGGGTGTGGGTGATGGTGAGCTGGGACTGATGGGTGCTACCCTGTCCCAGTGGAGGAAGAGAAGCCAGCCTTCTGGAACAAGCAGGCAGCTGCAGCCATTGAGGCCTCCTTCAAGATCCAGCCCAGGATAAACCAAGCCAAAAACCTCATCCTCTTCCTCGGGGATGGTGAGTCCCGCTGGCACCCACAGAGGGCAGGCTGCATGACCAGTGCCCCATGGAGCAGCATGCGGGGAGGGCACCTGGTCCAGAGGATGACTGGGACCCTCTCTCCTCACCCAGGATTTGGGATCTCCACCATCACGGCCACCCGCATCCTGAAGGGGCAGGAGCAGGGGAAGCTGGGCCCTGAGACTCCCCTCGCCCTGGATGCTTTCCCCTACGTGGCTCTCTCCAAGGTACCTCCCCACCGTGCTGGGCATGGGCCAGGATGACACTGGCCATGGGGCCATGGTGACGCCCATGGGGCTGCTGACACAGCAGCACCCCAGGGATGTACGTATGGGGTGCAAGGGGTCCCTGCCATCCCACACTTGTCCTTGGGTGAGCGAATGAATGTAGCAAGGGGGGCTGGGCGGGGAGAGCACCCCATTGGGTGCCTCTGCCAACCATCCCCTGCCCTGAGCCCGGTGTGTGACCTTGGCAGACATACAACGTGGACCGGCAGGTCCCCGACAGCGCGGGGACAGCCACAGCCTACCTCTGCGGGGTGAAGGGCAACTACCAGACCGTGGGACTGAGTGCAGCCGCCCGCCACTCGCAGTGCAACACCACGACAGGCAACGAGGTGATCTCAGTGCTGGAGCGAGCCCGCAAAGCTGGTAAGAGAGGGCGCAGGGCTGGGGGGCAACCCTGTGGGTCAAGGGATGTCACACTGGGGGCTGCCCCCCACGAACATCCTAGGGCTTGATGATGGGGGACCCCATGTCGCCCTTTGTGGGGCCTGATGGATGGGGGGTGGCAGGAAAGGCGGTGGGCATCGTGACGACAACACGGGTGCAGCATGCATCGCCCTCGGGGACCTACGCCCACGTGGTGAACCGCGACTGGTACGCGGATGCCAGCATGCCCACGTATGCCCTCAACCAGGGCTGCAAGGACATCGCCTGGCAGCTGGTCCACAACGTCGACATCAACGTGAGTACCTGTGCGTGGGAAGGGGGGCAGCAGGGCCAGACCCCCCCAGGCACCCCCACTAACACTGCACCTGTCTCAACCCCTCCAGGTGATCCTGGGGGGTGGTCGGAAATACATGACCCCCATGGGGACACCGGACCCTGAGTATCCCACCTATGAAACGGCGAAGGGGATTCGCAAGGACGGGAATAACCTCATTAACATGTGGCTGGAGTCACGGAGGGTGAGTGACGCTGTGGGGACAGTTCTCTGCCCACTGCCCCCAGGCATGGGGCCAGCACCCACTAACCCCCTGTGGGATTTGCCCACAGGGTGCCCGCTATGTCTGGAACAGGACAGAGATGCTGGCTGCCGCTGCCGATCCTAGTGTGAATTATTTGATGGGTAACAAATGTCCCATGTGCCAGGACCTGACAGCCAGCGGGACACATGCAGGCACTGAGGCTGTTCCCAACACGTCCCCTCCCAGGTCTCTTTGAACCCTCAGACATGAAGTACAACCTGATGCGTAACACCACCCTGGACCCGTCTCTCACAGAGATGATGGAGGCAGCCATCACCATCCTGAGCAGGAACTCCAATGGCTTCTACCTCTTTGTGGAAGATAAGTTGGGGCCGGTGCCCCTGGGGTGGGCAAGAAGGGGGCTCCCAAATCCCAAGGTGGGAAAAAGAGTTGGGGGTGCTGCCATCAATCCCCAGCCCACCGCGGGTGCCCGTCTGCAGGCGGCAGGATCGACCACGGCCACCACGATGGTGCAGCCCATAAGGCGCTGACAGAGGCGGTGGAGTTTGACCGGGCCATCGAGCGGGCGGGTGCCCTGACAGACGAGGCACAGACCCTCACCGTTGTCACCGCTGACCACTCGCACGTGTTCTCCTTCGGGGGCTATACCCTGCGTGGCTCCTCCATCTTTGGTAGGGCTCTGCCCAGCCACGAGAAGGGCACAGCTCTGTGCTGGGCATTGTCAGCTCCAGGTCACCCTGGCTGTGGCCAGAGGTGTAATACTGGGGTTTCTTGGCTGATCCCCTCCTCCATCAACCTCTCCCCAGGTCTGGCCCCCAAGAAAGCCTCTGACAAAAAGAACTACACGTCCATCCTCTATGGGAACGGTCCAGGCTACCCGGGCACCAGCAGGACCGATGTGGACAATGACAAAGCTGGTGAGAGCGCAGGGTCCATGGCTGGGTGGTGGGATGGGGCTGGGGGCCACCACTGCTTCCCTCACCCCTTCTCCTCCCTCCCCAGAGCAGTACGAATACTTGCAGCAAGCGGCCGTGCCCCTCAGCTCAGAGACCCACGGTGGCGAGGATGTGGCCATCCTGGCCAAGGGCCCCATGGCCCACCTCTTCCATGGGGTGCAGGAGCAGACCTATGTGGCCCACGCCATGGCCTATGCCGCCTGCCTCGAGCCCTACACTGCCTGTCGCCAGCGGGGCTCTGCCCCCAGCGCCCATGCCACCCCCCTGGCGCTGCTCCTGCCCACCCTTCTCCTGCCCCTCTTCCACTGACCCCACGGCCCACGGGTGCTGCCAGAACCACGTCCCCCGCTCCCCGCGGCTGTGGCACCTACAGGTGGGTGACAGATTTTGAAGCATCCCTGGTCTGGATGCAGCAGCTGCAGGGCATGGGGCAGGCCCTACGTCACCCATATGGGGTGCTCGTGTTTAATAAATGTGGAGTGTGAGGCTTGTGGGGCAGGCGTGTCGGTGGTGTGTGGGTGCCCATGCTGTGCGGGCAGGGCTGGTCGTGCTGCCTGCTGCTGCCCATCCCACCAGCCCCTTGCACCCACCTGGCATATCCAGTGCTTTATTGACCAGAAACAGCAACAAAAAATACAGCGGGTGTCCATGTCCCTGCGCTCCCGGGGCCGGTTGGCATCACCCAGCCCCAGGCTCTGCCGGCTCTGCCCACCCACTGGCAGGGCTGATGCGGGGACAGGATGGAGCTGGCATGGGGGATTCCAGGGAGGGCAGCGGGCAGGGGGAGGCTTTTGGTGTGGGGCAGCCCCACGGTGTCTCTGGTTCACTCTCCCTGCCTTGACTAGTGCTGGAATGAATGTGGTAGGGCTGGGTGAAGAAACTGGGGTGGTGGACAGAGGAGGAGGCACACAGGTGCCTGGGTGTGCCCTCATTCCTCTGTGGGGACTCAGGGCCCCCCCAGTGCACAGGGCAAGGCATAAGAAAGGGATGGGTAGGAGGCAGATGCCTCTGGGAAAGAGCTCATGCCCACCCCAAGTGTGTCCCCACTGCCTCCACCCCTCCAGTGAGTGCCTGTCTTTGGGGTGGTGACCCCCTGTATCACTAGGGGGTGCCCCCTTTGCCTGGGGCGTAGGAGGGGGAGATGGGCGGAGGTGGAGAGCAGGTGCAGGGTGGCACTCGGGCAGGGATGAGGATGGGGGGTGCCAGCCTGCCAGGGAGGGAATCGGCCTCACCACACCGAGCACTTGTGTGCCGGGTTCATGGGCGAGTTCTTGGGGCAGTGGAAAACCCGTCCGAACTCCTCAAACTGCGAGACGCTGCCCAGGACCCTGCCGGGAGAGGAGGGGGGCAAGTCAGAGCTGTGCACCTCCTTCCCCACCACCACTGCTGCCATGCACCCCACTTGGGACACCTGCTTACCCCATCTCCTGCCCCAGGATGCCTACCCAAAACCTTCTGGTGCCAGCACCCCAAAGGGTGTCCACCCCACTTTGCCCTGGGGAAGGCTGGCACCCACCGTCCCCCCCCCATTTCGTGGCCAGCCAGTACCTGTAGTGCTCCGGGGCGTGCTTGTCCGTCAGCACCTGCAGGTAGATGGACTGGGATCGCCGCTTGATGCACCAGTTCTGCAGGGGAGAAGGGTTCCCGTGGGTGAGCCGGAGGGGACACGCCGGGTCCTGGCACCCACCAGGCCATGACAGCCCTTCTGGCTGTTGAGGCACGAGGGCAGCAATGCCCTGGTTGTGCTTATTGCAGTCTCCTGGGAGCCTGTGCATGTGCTACGGGTGGGGTGGGAGAGCACAGAGTCATGGCTGTTATTGCAGGGTCTCCTGGGGCTGTGCGCTGCCTGGCTGCAGGGTCTCCTGGAAGTCTGGGGTCATGTGCATTTGTTACCGTGGGGTCTCTGGAGGTGATGGGGGACACACATTTGTTACTGTGGGGTCTCTGGAGGTGATGGGGGACACACATTTGTTACTGTGGGGTCTCTGGAGGTGATGGGGGACACACATTTGTTACTGTGGGGTCCCCAGGAGCAGCAGAGCAGTGCAGGGTGCTCCTTGCAGGGCTGAGCCCCATACCCTGAGCCCAGGACTTGCTGATGCAGCCAGGCAGGCTTGGCTCCTGGCTATGGGGTCCTGGCTATGAGCATCAGGGCTCCCACTCTGTCCCTCAGGGCCACCAGCCCCACACAAGGTGACCCCCCCCTTGCCCCAGTATGTGCCATGTGTGGGGAGGGCAAGGACTCACCTGGGCAAAGGCAATGAAGAAGAGCTGATCGTGTGTGTACTTCAGGTGGTGCAGTGGGTGCTCGGGGCCGTGCTCCCGCACCCACTTCTGGTAGGCCTGGAGAACAAAGGGTGCCCTCAGCATGGCCTGGGCACCCCCCAAACCTGCCCCGAACCCCACCAGGAACCAGCAAGCAGGATCATGCCTACTTCTTGCTGCAGGGCACAAGGTGGGTCCGGGGTGGGGGTGGGACACTTACATAGTAGGCGAGTTTGAGCCCCCCCATGTCAGCTATGTTCTCCCCCAGTGTGTGTTTTCCATTCACCTGCCAAGAGAGGAGAGACAACGGAGTAAGCAGAGATGCTCCCCCCCCGAGGCAGGCAGCTCCCCCTCCCCACCCTGGCACCGAGGCTGTGCTTCAGTTGCCGCCACCCCATGCCCTGAGAAATTTCCCAGCTGAGCTGAGGTGTGATGAGCTGTCGGGTCTCGGGGCTGGGCAGGGCAGAGCCGTGCTCTCCTGCAGGCACCAGCCCCCAGCAACAGAGCAGCAGGGACCCTGCCGTGAGGCAGCGTGTGCCAGGGCGTTGCCTGGCAGGCAAGGGGGGGGCCTCACCCGCTGGTTGTAGACGGTGAAGTTGTCATAGAGGTTGACGATACACTGTGCCTTCTTCAGGAACTTGCTGTATGATCGCTCCGTCCACCAGTGCACCAGGTTCCCATGTCGGTCGTACTGTCCCCCTGCCAAGGCACCCGCCACCACCCGTAGTCCCAAGGGACCCAGGCGTCCTGCCTGGCTGCCCCCAGCCCACCCATCTCCCCCCTGGCATGAGGGGTGGGGGGGTCTCTCACCCCAGTCGTCGTAGCCATGGGTCAGCTCATGCCCAATGATGGTGCCAATCCCACCATAATTCAGTGACCTGTTGGACGGGTAGCAGAAGTGAGAGGGTAGAGGGCACAGTGCTGGCAGGGGTGGAGGTGACCCCAGGACCTGGCACCCCCATACCCTGCCTGGCACCCCCTGGCCATGCCCCAGCCCCACACTCACTGTGGGAACTCGGGGTCGTAGAGGGTGGGCTGCAGGATGCCAGCGGGGAACACTGGGGACACAGAAGAGAATTGCAGGTGGGGGGCACTCTGCCCTGTACCCACCCACAGCATCACCGGGTGCCAGGGGACCCTGTGCCATGGCCGCCACCCCAGGCCCTCGACGCACCCCCCTCAAACCCTGGGGGGAATGGGCAATGCCTCACCCATCTGGTTCTTGTTGGGCAGGTAGTAGGCGTTCAGCGCCTGGGGAGGCAGCAGCCACCTGCGAGGAGAGACAGCGGTGCCAGACTGTGGGGGCACCAGGGGGGCATGGAAATGCCACCCCTTTGCACAGCTGGGGAGACAGGGGGGCATTCCTGGCTTGCCCTTTGCCCTCCTGCCTGCACCCTGTGGGGTACAACCAGGCATGGGCATGGGGGGCATTGGTGGGGCCATGCTGTGCCCCCCATGCCCCCTCCCAAGCCAGGGGATACCCACGCAGATTTGTCCACCTCCTGCCGGATCTTCTTCACTGAGAGCCTGATGCTGAAGGCAATGCTGTTGAGGATGTTCTTGAAGTAGGTCTTCTCGTCTACCTCAAACTGGTGGGGCACAGCCACGTCAGGGTGGGGTTCCAGCTCCAAATGCCAACCCCAGGAGTGTGGTGAGCAGGGCTGGGGTGTCCTCCCACCCCAGTGAGCCTTGGGGTCAGAGGGTCATAGCCAGGGGTTGGATGTGGCATGAGTGTGTCCTCATGTCCCATTCTGTGTGCCCACATGGGCAGCTGCATCTCCATCACCTCTGTGGGGTCTCCCCCATGCTGGCACCCCCAGGCCTTACTGAGGATGGGGTTGAGCTTCGGGGGGTGCGATATGGGGAAGGAGACATCATCCCAGACCTCAGGGACAGTATGGCACTGTGGCTGTTGTCGTGTGAGTGGTGGGCACAATGGTCTACCAGGAGGTGGCTTGTTTTGGAGTGACATCTCCCCATCCTTGTCTCTGCAGACCCTGAGGCAGATGTGGGGACCATCTCCCCTCTGCATGTGCCCACACCCCATGTGGCCCTGGGCCACCCCTTGCCTCATACTCCTTGTCAATGGCCTCCGGCTTCAGTAGGAAATCAGGGTACCCAATCATCACCATCATGTACCGGAGCTGTGGGCAAAATGAGTGGTGGGGTCAGGCCCCAACCCCATGTGCCCCTGGGATGTGGTGGGGACAAAGGCCTTTGTCCAGGCTGGGGGCTGCTACCTTGGCCCTGGCTGCTCTCCGTGTCTCCTCATCCATCCAGTCCAGCTCGTCCAGGCGCTGATCCAGGATGTATTTGATGTCTTCCACCAGCTGTTGCACCTATGATGGGTCATGGCAGGCGCTGGCACGGTGCTCTCACCACCTGTCACTCCACCAGACAACCCTCGGTGGGGTGCTGGGTGGTGGTAGGCACCTTGGCAAGGTGACAGGAGGGACACGGTGGCTTCATGCCCACAGGCAGCATTACCTACCTTGGCTTTGCTGGCAGAGGAGAAGTGCTCCTCAACAAAGAGGGCACCCAAGGCCATGCCAAAGTGCTTATTGGCCTGGCTCAGGCAGATCTTGCCAGGCTCAAGCTGCTTCTCGTTGCCCTCCATCTCCTTGGAGAGCTCGTGGATGGCGTCACGGAACGGTGTGGAGAGGTGCTCACTCAGCACCACCACGATGCGCCACAGCATGTAGTTGTGAAGGATCCTGGTGATGGGGGCCAGGATCAGGCCCCCCCACTGGGCACATCCCCAGGCACACAAGGAGGCTGAGGAGCATGTGCCAGGGTGGGGCCACCCCTTCTCAGGGACCAGGCAGGCCACGAGGGTGGCCGTGGCCTGTGGGGACACAGGGTGGGCTGGCACTGTGTCCCTCCCTGCCGGGTGCTGAGCTGGTGACCTCCAGCATGGAGGGGCTCGGCAGGTGGCCAGGCACAACCAGGGTGCTGCGGCAGTGCCTTCTCCCAGGAGTTTCCCGGGATCTCTGTGCCCAGCCTGGCCTCCCCAGGATGGGAGGGGACACCAGCTGCAGCCGCCCTGTGCCCACCTCCGTTGACAACCCCCTACCAGGCTGGGGAAGGTGCCGGGGGCACAGGGGGTGCCAGCCCCCCTCACCTGCTGGGCGTCACGCGGATGAGGTCGGACACCTTGTGCATGTAGTCGGTGGCCAGCAGCACCACCTCCTCCTCCTCCGAGAAGTTGTCATGGAAGATGCGGTCCAGCAAGCGCTTCCACTTGAGCTGCCAGGGTGGGAATTGTCAGGGGGGCACAGGGACCCCCCTCCATGCCACCCTGGAGGGAACCCCTTCCAGGTTTTTCAGCCTTCCACCACCCCTCCCCACCCAGAA